GCGCCTACGCGCTTTTGGTGGGCCGAAGGAACGGTTAGCAAAACTGCTCACCATCTGCATTTGGTTGCGTCCAAGATTTCACTGGCGTAGTGAATGTATCATCTCCTCCCCAATGAGATACATGTAGAGGTGCCACCTCTCTCTCCAATGCCATTCGAATGTGCCTTTCAGAGTAACTAAAGTGAGGCTTCGTTTTCTCAGAGCGGGCTCCTATTCTTGCAAAATGTGATCGCAGTTAGGCCTTATTGCAGGTTTATAGTGAATATTTGGCGCTGTTAGTGTGTAATGACAGTAGTCGAGCCTGGCGTTGTGATCAATCTGGTGGCGAGTTCCAGGAAGGCAACTGGAATTCAGACTCCGCCCAGATCGTGAACACCAAGCGTGTCCACACGCGACTTCATCAAGAAGCAGGAGGAGCCTTCATTACAAATGACAACAAGTGTGTATTTTCGTCAACTATCTCTTGATAATGCTGACGTCAAGGAAGAATCTTCCATTCATGTCTGGCGTATGTCGACTCTGCAGTCTGGCTTAGTTCAACCGCCGTGAACTCGGAAAATCGAATTGAGAAAGTTTCTAATGTCGTTACATATTATCGTTACCAAGGTCGCGAGTTTTCGGAAGCCCCTGCTGGACTTACTAAGCAGCCTCCAGCACCTTCGACCCTCGCCGTGAACTCGGCGACATGCTCGATAATGCTTGGTAGTTGATATGCTACTGGTTTCCTATAAAAACCATCAAATCTCTTCCATGAAACTGCATCAGAAATCACCAGCTAAATCTCCACCAAGAAATCACATCGTCTCATTCTACACCTAGTCTCACAATCTATCATGAGCTCATTATCCGGAAAAGTCGCCATTGTCACAGGAGCTGCTCGAGTGAGTACTATTTCCACTCTTCATTCTACTTCGTACTCATAACAATTGGCCCACAGGGAATCGGAGCAAGTATCGCCATCAGTCTCGCTAAAGAGGGAGCAAATGTAGTTGTCAACTACGTGTCTCCATCTTCCAAACCACTGGCGGAGAAAGTCGCTCAAGAAGCCCAGAGTTATGGTCCCAAAGCGCTTGTCGTTCAAGCTAACGTTGGCTCTTTGAGTGACATTGACAAACTGGTCAAACAAACGGTCTCCCAGTTTGGCAGGATAGACATTCTTGTATGTCCTCAAATCCACCCGTGCTTAAACATAGTCACTAATGAGGTAATGAACAGGTGAACAACGGAGGTGTGGTGGACTTTGCCAATATTGGCGACATCACGCCCGAATCATTCACTCGTATTGTGAGTCTTATCATTTCGTATCAATATATGACATTACTGACAGATAGAATCGCTTAGTTCGATGTGAATGTTCGCGGTCTAATCTTCCTGTCTCAAGCTGTCGTCCCTCATATGGGAGAAGGCGGTCGCATCATCAACGTATCGAGCGTTGCAGCTCGTCAAGGTAATCCTGGATCTACGGGTGAGTATACTCTTACTTTTTCTCATCTGTTCACTCGAGTCGAGAACTAACGCCCGTATTCTTTCAGTATACGCATCTTCGAAGGCTGCTGTAGAGAGTATCACTCGAGTAATGGGAACTGAACTGAGGGATAAAGGAATCCGAGTGAACGCGATTAATCCAGGACCCGTTGTGACAGACATGTTCACTTCTCTTCCTGACGAGCTTCAAGATCACTTCAGAGCGACCCATCCCGTTGCTCAGCCAGCGGATATCGCAGACGCGGTTCTGTTTCTTGCTGGACCCAACAGTCGATGGATCAATGGTGGAACCTTGAACACTAATAACGCTGCTATCTTTAACTAATTCTTGAAGACGCCCTTATGAGTAGTTGTACTTTAACTGTAGATTATATCCGTTTAAAATTTAAACCGAGCCAGACTTGATTGCATCGTCTAAGAAAGTGGTATCCCTTTTGTACGAATCAGTAAGGGTCACGCAAAACTGGGAAGAATAATTACATTGTTCGACCGTCATACGGATAACATTGATTGGAAAGTTTGTTTGAGAGTTTATCTGGCCTCGCTTCCCCGACACTCGGAGTCCGTTTTGACCGTGACATTCCTTATGCGTGAGCCGAGCCGACCTCTACGCGATCAAACTCTCAAATTTAAGAGGCTCTATAATTCCTGGATATAAAGGACTTTAAATTGTGATTAATACCTACGGGCTATTTCTGGAAGCGGCAGAAGGCAAACTCGTGACGTCCTAACTTCTTCCAGGCAATTGCAATTGTTTGTTTGGGCGGTTCGCTCATTAGACCCTCTCACCTGCTTAGCACCTCGAATATGGCTACAAACGATCTCCTTCGATTACCAGAACGATCTGGAGGTATATTCTGGCCTTTACGTGTGTACCTGCGATGGGCTGATTGAACGCTATGCACAGCGACTCACTACCTCCTTTGCCATATCTGGGGAACTTCGTTAATCCGTCAGCTCAGCGTCATCAAGGACTTCAATCCTGGATCAACTCCTCTCAACTACTTGCAACTAACGGACGAGACTCGTACGGCAGTACAATACCACATAAACCAGCTTAACCGCAACTCTTTCGACCCGCGCCACGCTGTCTGGGCCGTCAACAGCATCTTCCTGCTACGTGGAGAACTCGTCTTCATCGCTGAGAACTTGACTGCCATCCCTCGACCCAAAACGAAACGAGGTCAGTACACTCCCCCCGCTCGCATTTGCCGGTCTCCTAGGCTCGTCTGTTCAAGTGGCCCTTGCTTGTAAAGCCGAGGCGAATGAGCGTCCACCTGCAAAATTAGCCGAGCCACAGAGGCGAGAGCTTGCGCCAAAATGTTTGAAAGTTTCGTGACTGACACGCAATTTTAAAATGTCTCGTGGTAGATCCCGTGCTCATCCTGCATCTGGCTGCCCTCCCATCAGACCAATATGAAGTTCGCTCACAGCTTGTGGTCACGGAGGGATTTCAACCCACCGATTCGGTCTATCCTTATTTCTCGGTCACCAAATTTTGGCGAAAGGCGATCAAGACGGAATTACAGCGACTGAACAATCACTCAGAGGACCTGCGGGAACACGCGTGGGCATTGGGGTCGATCCATTCAATACTCCAAGGGAAACCCGCTGATGTAGTGGGCGTTGTAATGGTTCTTCATTGGATGAGCTGCGAACCAGTGGAAACTCCCGTGCCCTTGTCCCATTCACCAATGATACATTCATTGAGGCATTCTCCGAACCAGTGCGTTATATTTATACCAATAACCATCAGCGCACATACTGATGTTGGTAAAATTATTCCAGTGAGCCTGAGCGTGACTTGTAGGTTTCTCATTCGTTACCGTATCTCACGGACATCATAATCTTCGCCATTCATTCTCTTCTAAATGCATTTCCAAAGCATTGTTTTGCTGACCATCCTCTGATTTCAGAAACTCTTTGGCCTTGCCACCCTACTCTCTATAAACACCACCACTTCCCCCAACTACCAACAGCTCATAAGCTTTTTTATCCTCATTGCAACTCGGAATGCTGGCATATATTTATCATCTCCACTCTGGAAATACGGGATATCTCCTCTATATGTCTCAATGCTTACTGTATGGCCGAAATGTATCGATAATAATCTATTTAGGTTGATACTACGGGATATTGGATCAAGCCACAATGATACCAATTTAAGTTGAGATAATGCGAATGTAGAACGTCTCAATGTTTCCTGTCGGAGCTAGCGTATTTCCGAACCGTTCAGAGTATGGTGCGCAAGGAAATATCCTGGGTTCATCTGAAGCTTGAGATAATTTTCAATCCTATTCGTAACAAGTAGTGATGTACACGAAAAGACGAGATGTACTAGAACAAACAGAAACACTACAGGTAAATAAGTGATAGGAAACACTTTGCGTTCATGAGAGGCGGTGGGCCATGTTTTGGAGTCCTAACAACTGTGGTTACAATTCGAGGAAGAGTACAGATGATGAAAGATCGGATGTGGAAAGATGGCTGGTCATGGCACCACTATTTTGTGATAGGGAGGATGTCGTCTTCACTTTTGAACGAGTAGCGTATTCCCAGGGAATATTGATGCGAATATTGAACCATCCAGGGTAATTGTCGCTCTTGGCTTTGACGGACCGTCTCGCGGCAAGCGCCAGGCTTTCCCTCGTAAGCGTACGCTAAACATGTCCGATATACGCGAGCGGCATGTCGTAACGGGAAGATGTCGTGGGTATAAAGCCAGTAAATGACGTCCAAGCGAAGGAGCCGAATAAAGTACGAGATGCATGACTTTGAGGATATGAGCGTGTGTTCAGCGCCTACGCGCTTTTGGTGGGCCGAAGGAACGGTTAGCAAAACTGCTCACCATCTGCATTTGGTTGCGTCCAAGAT